CAAAGTGTAATGTATAATATATATATATATATATATATATATATACACACACCATATTATTATACACCATAGTATTTACAAAGTATTTCAATGTATTAAAATTCTGTGGTATCACTATTAAGGTAATAAACATGATGGTGCTTTATGCAGATGCCAGTAAGAAAGTGCCATGTGGGTTGGACTGGCCATCATGACAGTGAAGCATACTAATGGAGTATGCTTTAAAAAATGAGAGAAATATCCCAGGCAATCTTGAATGAAGCACTGCTGCAGTTTAATTAAAAGATCAAGCGATAATGTTAAAGCACGTAAAATGGAGAGATAAATTGAAGAGCACATTACATCACGTGATTTGCGCAAAATATGTTAAATTTTCAGGATAAATGTGGACCAATGAGTCTTTAGGGACTGATGAACATTTCATCAGTGTTCAGGGATGATTCATCGAATTGGTTTTCTGTCCAATTTAGTTTTATCTGATACATGGATGTCTTCCGCATGAATAAGTGAGATTGTGGGGCAGAAACGCATCCTGGTGAACTGCAGGTGTGAGCATTTTTCGGTTTATAATAGGCAGCAGATGCATGGAAAATATCAAATATCTGCAGTTCATCAAAAGCAAAAACATGCTTTCATGTTTGAGATCTGAAAGCATTGATACTGCCTTAAGACATTTTTTTAAAGGTGAAGTGGAGGCACAAAAACTCACAGGGGGTTGCTTAAGACATATTCACATCTCCTTAACTAACAGCTGGAGTAACAACTTGTATCCAGCTGTAATCTTAGTTGTAAATGTTAGGGGAAAAAATACACATCTGAGAAAGCTTCTAAAATGTCATTTTTGGTGATGCAGATCTTTAACTGTTAGTTCTCCATGTGTTATAAGGGTTATCACTAGTGGGATATTTTCACTGACCACATTTAACATAAAAAAATGGTGCACAAACAGGAAGCAGTGCTTGATTACCTGCAGTGGACTACCACTGGGCCAGCGTCGGGCGGCGTGGAGGCCTTGACCCGCCGGAGGAAGGCCAGCAGTCCTGTGGCATGATACGGGACACCATGCTCTGGCCAGTTTGTGAAGTGGAGCTGGCAGACTTCATGTTTAGCTGGGTAACCCCGCTGATAGAGGACAAAGTTACTCGTTAGGAAAACATTAGAAACAACATTTACACATTAGAATGTTCTTACTAAAAATGTTCTTACACATTTTCCATGATTTCATAATTTTATCAAAATAACACATGGGCAATAGCTCCATTAACTAATTTACATTTAATAGCACAAAATGTTCGCAGAATATTGACAAACATCTCAATAGTCTCACCCGCTCCATGGCAAAGGTGCGTACGGTGTATTCTGCCAGCGTTTCTGTTTTCAGCAGAGTGATTTTGATGTCTCCTTTTTCCAAAGACAAAAACATCCATACAAAGTAAAATTATTTTTAAAGCAAATCCATGATCCAATATTTATTATAAAGACCTTACCATACTTAGTCAATATATTTTCTTTAGACACAAGACAAAATGTTACTTAAAGGAATAGTTCACCCAAAAATGAAAATCTGATGTTTATCTGCTTACCCCCAGGGCATCCAAGATGTAGATGACTTTGTTTCATACACAAACAAACCCAAATTAACCCCTGCGTCTCGTGACGATACATTGATGTTTAAAGACACGAAACGATCGGTCTGTGCAAGAAACTGAACAGTATTTATATCGTTTTTTACCTCTGATGCACTGCAATGTCTGAACTGTCCTGAGCGACAGCCGGCTCGTGAGGCGTCTTCTTCTTCTTCTTGCATTACAGCGGATCGCAGACTTATAAGTGCATTACCGCCACCTATCTCTCAAATGGACCATTGACACTCCTAATTGAGATTGTAGATAGAGTGTCAATGGTCCATTTGAGAGATAGGTGGCAGTAATGCACTTTTTAATTTGGTTTTGTTTGTGTATGTTTTTTTGACTCTCAAAGCCGTGATTCCCATTCACTTACATTATATGACTGACAGACTGCAACGGTTTGAGTTAAAAATCTTCATTTGTGTTCTACTGAAGAAACAAAGTCATCTACATCTTGGATGCCCTGGGGGTAAGCAGATAAACATCAAATTTTCCTTTTTGGGTGAACTATCCCTTTAATGTAGGTCAATACAATTATAAATAGAAAAAAAAGAAACACCACTACTACTACTACTACTAATAATAATAATAGTAGTAGTAGTAGTAGTAGTAATAGTAGTAGTAGTAGTGAGACAATATACAATAAGATAAGATAAAAATATTTTGTTAGTCACTGTTCAATGTTTAAAGACAACCTTTATGCTTATAGTAATATCTCTTTAAAATAGTATGATAGTCATGTATAAATAAATAAATACATAAGTTAATTAATAATAATAATAATAATAATTATTATTATTATATGATAAGAACTACCAAGTTTTGCTATAAGTTTGATTGCATCATATAATAATTGCTGTTAATAGTGTTCATCGTCTGTTTGATTACGTCTTTAATTGATTTTTCCGTACATTTCTGCCATATGTACATTAACTGACAGTCACCACTGATAAGCTACCACTAAATATTGTAGAAACTTAATTTGCTGTAAAGTTGCTTTGCAACGATTTGTATCGTGAAAAGCCCTATAAAAATAAACTTGAATTGAATTTAATTGAATTTAATTGAATTTAATTAATAATACACTTAAACCCATGATTTTCAGTTAAGGGCAAACTAATCATTAGAATCTATGTACAATATAATTGTGAATGAGTCTGTTGAGGAATTCTAATTTTAACAAAAATCTAAAGCTGGCCATGCAGTAACTATATATTCCACCAAAATATCAAAGTTGCTACAGTTACTACACAGAACTGTTATACTACAATAAAACTGTGGTAACTTGGCAAAAGACAATGAATAAATAAGCCAAATGACAGAAAGATTCTGAATGTCCCTCTCTAAGAGATCCAATAATAACTACGATGTTACAGTACTATCAACAAATGTAACCACGGCATTTTGGAGGAAAGGGGACAAAGAAAAGCTCAATTAAATGCTAAAGATGGCTGGCCGATAAAAAACATTCATCAGACGGAATGCTCTCTGGCTAATGGGGTTTCTTGGTAAAGTTTATCTTCAGTAATGGTCAGCAGTGGGTCAGTGTTCAGTAATGGATGGTGTCCATTAGTGGGCGGAGGGGGCGGCCGAGGTAGACTTATTCTACTCACTCTCCCCACCTCCACCAGTTTGGTGATCATCACGATGCTGTAGCAGTTCTCCTGCCAAACCATGCGCCAGAAATCATAGATCATGTCCTGCTTGGGCCCTGCGGAGAGAGAGACAGAGCAATGAGCTTTCATGGAGAATTGTGGGAGGTGAATGATTTGAACGCAGGATAAAGAGAGGATAGAGGTGGTTTTGTGAAATAGCGGGTCGCGACATCCACGAGGATTATATAAGAAAAGAGAAAACAGGGACGGTGAGCTGCTGGGACGAGAGAGCTATCGGTTCATATAGAAGACAACGAATGGAGAAACTGCTGGCAGTGAAAATCCAGTGAGTGATAGCAGCAAGAAACTAGAGTTTGAAATTTTTCTGAAGAAATGTACTGTAAGTGATTGCAGTATGCTAGGCAGTTACTAAGGCTGGTGTTTTCAGTGCGCTGCTATGTGGGTGCTAAAATGTTATGAGTGTGTGTCGCTATAGTGCAACACCGTTATCAAGAGGACATTGTAATGGGCCCAAATGGGTTCTTACTTGACCAAGTCCGTTGTTTACAATGGAGAGCGAGGCCTCACCAGCAGTACCAGCGTCTAAAGCTCACAATGTAAAAGTTACCATTGCTGATGATGTGAAAGAGGACAACAGGGAATTTTACAGCCCTACTTGTTCAAACCAGAATACTCCGACCAAGAACTGAGAGAGATGAGCAGATGAGCTGACGCTGTTTGTTTACAACGGAGAGTGAGGACGCGTGTGAGAACTGAGAGAGATGTTGGAATCAGTGGATCAGACATCTGTGAAAAGTCAAACGTCCCGAATGGGATCGTACACGCAAACGTAATCTTTTTTAAATAGGTTCCAGCAGCCAGGATAAGCACAGGCAAGTGCCATTTCGGCAAACAATAAAAGGCACGAGTTCTCACTCTCCGCTGTAAACAAACAGTGTCATCGGCTTACGACTGAGGAAGTTCGCACTCCAGACAGTCGTGAATGCGCTAAGAACCGTTTGTTCAGGCTGTGGATTAAAGGTAATAATGTTGTAAATAATGTCCAGCTTCTTGCACAGACTGATTGTTTCGCTTCATAAGACCTCAATATATCGCCAGGAGCCACGGGTATTGGCTTGGTCTTGTCTGCACTTCTACCTCATGAACTTTTTGAAGCGTCAAAGTTTTGGTTGTGAGATAAAATTCTGTTAAGTTTAATTAAATGTATCTTAATTTGTGTTTGACAGATGAACAGAAGTCTGAAGGGCTTAGAACGACAGTGAGTAATTAGATGAGTAACTGATGAATTTTAATTTTTTGGGGAGAAACACACCTTTAACACTATCTGTGTGATGTCTGGTTAAGACATTAGAGTTTATTATGGTGGGCTAGACAAATGTTTAAATCACTAACCCCAAATATGTGTAATTGTAATAGCAAACACCTCTAATAAAGCATTTAGCAGTACTATGAATGACATGAGCTGAACCTCTTTCATTCTCACTATCGTCTCTTTCTTTTCTTCCTCGTGTATTTTTTCTGTACACACATCACACACGCATAGCACGCAGAAATGCGTACGCATAGAAATATTGGAAACATTAAAGGAAAGCTGCTGAAGGTTTGTAAACGCAGCGCTGTGAACGCTCTGCCCTCGGGCGAGGAGTCTGTTATCTTCTCTACCTGTTAAAACAATTACAGCCAACAACAGGTGCTGTTCCTGTTCCTGAGCAGCTCTCCTGCTATCGCCCGCAGCTACATCCACAAAATATCCCATCGCAACGCTCTGCTTTACAGCTGGGATGAAGCCGAGGTTATTCATGATGAATAATAACGGTGAAACTGAAAAGTTTTCGAGGCTTAAATAGAAGGTGGGGAGGCATTTGTTCAACATTGTTTTTGGGGCCATATTGAAACGGCATTTCCCAGCTGACAGCATCAGAACACATCCAGCCCAGGTTAATTAAAGCACCTCAGGAGAAAACTGCTGCTAACAACAAACATCTTTCACTTTCCTTATGAGCGCTGTTTGCTAAAAAATGCATCAGTAAAAAAAAAAAAAAAAATGTTCAGAAGACCTTAACAACTGCACATCAGAGTATAACATTTGCTAAAATTGCTCAGAACATCTTACCAATCACATAGTAACATGTGAGAAAGCCCTGGCCACCACCCAGAACTCTAGCAACCACATAGCAACACATAAAACAAATAAATAAAAAATACTCAGCACACTATTGCTGCATTCCATTTGAACTAATTCCGAAATTCCAAGTTCGCAGTAGGAATTTTTAACTGGAACGCCCTTCCAAGTCTGACACGGCATCTCTGAGGAATCACAACAACGCCAACTTCAGAATCCAATATGGCTGCTCAGTGTATAACAGAAGAGAAACTTATTGTAATATATTGTTTATTAGCACTTATGCAAACTCAGTGGTGCACATTGTACTATCCAACCTCTATTTTTGGACATGATACTATGGTGTTATCTGTGCAAAATACTACTTTTTATGTGTTTTTAATCGACTGGCATTGCTAACAATTAACGCGTCTATCTTGGTTTTCTGACTTCTCTACTGGATGACGGTCCACAGGTGTGATGTCATTCCTGACTTCCGAGGTAAACGGAACGCAGCATTACTAATTCTATAATAGCACACTTTTAGCAACCACATAGCAATGTGCTGAATACCGTGCAGAACACTTTAGCTGATGCATATTAATGCCCAGGAAATCACCCCAAATACGCTATAAACCACAAAGAAACATGCTAAAAAATGCTCCAAACATCTTAGCAATGTCTGTTGTTAGCAACCACAAAGCAATGCGCTAAAAAAATCCCCATAACACCCTAGCACCCATATATCAACATGTCAAAAAATGCTCAGAGCACCTCCTCAACTGTACAAAAGCAGTGTTGCCAACTTAGCAACTTCACTGTCACTAGATATAGTAACTTTTTTAGACCCTTGTAGTGACAATTTAAAAAAAAAAAAACTATTGCACAAATCTTGGACAAAACGTATCTAGTTTCGATGTCTTAATTATAAATCAGGATTTTAGTGCAGATGGTTTTCACTACCATTTCAATACCATTACAAACAGTACAAACCATCAACTTTTAACCATTAAAACCATTTAAAAAATGGTTTCCTGTAGTGTGTTTTGGAACACATTCCATTAGGACATAGTGTTAACAAGCCACCAATAGAAGGTGACCAATTACCAGTAGAGACCAACAGGCACCATTACAGTTCCCATTAAAACCAGTACAATTGCCATTATAACCAGTAAATCCATTACGAATTATGTAACGGTTTCTCGTGTGCTTTTTTTCTCAGCAGGGATGTAACAGGCTGACACTAGGCACAATGCAAATATGTCACAATTACATCAGGAATATGGTAATTAGTGCATGACGTCATTTAGCAACATTTAGTGACTTTTCAAGCAGGGTTTAGCTACTTTGCATTGCCAGCAGTGTATAAAAGTGTGATATATAGATACTTAGTATATTTTACTACTTTATACTTTTACTGAGTTACAACTTAGTAAAGATCCATTCACACCAAGGACAATAACTGTAAAGCTAAATATAACAATAACTATATTAGCATCCACATGAACGCAAGATAATGTATTGTTTATTACTAGAACAAGCTTCAGTTTTGTTGTCTGCTGCTTTAAATGCTCGCGCACTTTAAAGCAGGATGGATTCTGAATGGCTCAGTGTTTTTACCGTTCATCAGCTGGAAGAAATCATTCGTAAAGTGCCAAAGATATTGTTCCTCTGTGCTGTTATCATTATAGTTGTGGTGTGGACTCTGCTATTCCTTTAAAATAGAATGATACAATCTACATCTTTATTTTTATCATTATGGATATCATTATAGCCATCATTCAACTGTATAGCAGTATCATGCTAACAGTATGTTAACTAGTAACAACTTTACGCCGACACGCTAAAACACACTCACACTCATCTTAACGGCTGTAGCAGTTTGCCGTTAGCAACCAAATAGCAATGCACTAAAAACACTTAGCAAACTCGCATTAAAAAGCTCAAAGCACCTCACCATAGTAGCAACATGCTAACTGTATGCTATCTAGCAATATTACAGCAATATGCTACAAAATGTTCAAAAGTATTGCAGTATGCTGTTAGCAACCGCATAGTAATGTGCACAGCAATGTGCACACCGGGTCCCGCGGTGAATGGACTGAGGTCAGGCACAAAAAAAATAAATAAAAAAAAAACAGGCATACAAAAAGAAAAACAACCCCCAAAGCACCCTGTCATTGTAGTGTTTGGAGTTTTTCATGCACCAGGATATTATGCTAAAATCCTGTAATAATCTTGTCATTATGTGGGTTTGAGTGGTTTGGGGTTGCAGCTGCAGCGCTGATGCAGAGATTTGTATTAAAGGTCCCATATTGTCAAAACTGAAATTTCCTGGCTTTTTTCATGATAACTGAGGTCTAGGTGCTATGTAACTACCATATAAGTCTCAACTGGAACAGGGCGGAGACAAGGAGAGCCTCCAGGGCGGATCAGGGAGCCATGGCGGATCAGGGGACTCAGGAGGCCATGGCGGATCCTTCGTGGCCTTAGCTGGCACGGCCACGGGTATATGCCCCTCCAAAAAAAATTTCTTGGGGAAATCTAGGAATCCTGGGGGGCGCTCTGGAGGAGCGGGCACTAGATGGCGCTCTAGAAAGCGCTTACGAGGAGCAGGCACTGGGCCTGGAGCCGACACTGGAGCGAGCTCTTGGGCTGGAGCCCTCCCTGGGCTTAACTGGGGATCAGGAGCCCTCCCTGGGCTAAACTGGGGAACAGGAGCCCTCCCTGGGCTTATCGGGGGATCTGGAGCCCTCCGTAGGCTATACTCGGGAACAGGAGCCCTTCCTGGGATGAACTGGGGATCAGAAGCCCTTCCTGGGCTGAACTGGAGATCAGAAGCCCTTCCTGGGCTTAACTCAGGATCAGGAGCCCTTCCTGTGCTGAACTGGGGATCAGGGTAGCGCTTACGTGGTGCTGGCACTGGAGGGTGCTCTGGAGGAGCAGACACAGCAAAGCGCTTTCGAGGAGCTGGCACTGGAGTGAGTTTTGGGACTGGAGCAGACACTGGAGCGAGCTCTGGGGCTGGAGCCGACACCGGAGCGAGCGGACACTGGAACGAGCTCTGGAAGGCGCTTACGAGGAGCAGGCACTGGGGCTGGAACCGACACTGGGGCCTCATGAACGCATGACAGGCTTGCCATATTAATGTTCGTTGGGCTTGACATATTAACGGCCGGTGAACTAGAGTAGGCCGCGGACAGCGGCGGGCTTGCGTGAGCCGCGGACGGCAGGCTGGTTCTGGCTTGGGGCAGGACGCTCTCCAGACACCGGAGGATTCCTTCCCTCCAGCTCAGTCCCGTGGTGTCTGGGAGGTCCACGGGGCG